TTGTACTTTATAATGCTCTAAGAACTAATATAAGCACTACCGTACAATACGGTAATTAAAATTTTTTTTTGAATTTTTAAAATAATCTGGTTACTAAGTAATTAATCTCAAGAAACAGAAGCGTTAAAATATTACCTGGTTGAAAACCTGTTGTTTACCTGGATTTGCTTCCGTAATAAACAAAAATGAAATAACACTCGACATATTTCAAGCTCTTCAAAAATATGGACACTTGGACAAAACATGGACACTGATGTGGGCATGCATTTTGTCATGATTTGCCTCTCAGCCAGTATGATTTTTCTTGTTGTGTTTTTATTTTTTCTCTCTCTCGGCTTCAGTGGTTTTTCTAGTTCTGTTTACCACCACTATTTTTCGTTGGCAACTTTATGTTTTTTTAATTTCAAATCATTTTTGTTTCGTTACATTTACACCTGGCAAGTCTTGAAAATGGGGGCCTGTTTTTGAAGGGCTTGATACGTGTTGAACGTTATTCCATTTTTTTTTATTTCTGAAGCGGATAGTAAATCAGTTAATGTGGTTACTAATTATTAAGGTAGACAAAAAATTATGATTAAATGGAACATTATGGGGTTTTCAAAGCTTTCGTCGTTCAATTAATTGAATTTCTACGCTTTATAAATGATAATAATTATAGATTATAAAAAATAAACCGAAATACTCAAAATTCAGTTATGAAACTGAAAATTTACGTTATAAACCTGATTTGCTTTAGTTTTTTTACAGTTTTCATAAGAATTATTACACCACGGTTAACAAAAAATTATGATTAAATGGAACATTATGACGTTTTTAGAGCTTTCGTCGTTCAATTAATTGGATTTCTACGCTTTATAAATGATAATATAGATTATAAAAAATAAACCTAAATACTCGAATTCAGTTATGAAACTGAAAAATTACGTTATGAACCTGATTTGCTTTTATTTTTTTTACAATTTTCATTAGAATTATTACACAGCGGTTCTTTTGAAACTCATTTACCACATTGCAGGCATTAGGTATGTTTGATTCCTTTTACACTACCATGAAAATATGGAAACATTTCTATACTAATTTTATGTAAGCAATTTTAATTTGCCTTTAAATTCACTTTTAAAACACAACTTATGAATGTATCAAATTTAATCCCATTCAATACTTCAATATCAATTGTGCTTTTTATATTCATGAAAATTTCTGATTATTTTATAAATCATGACTCATATTAAATATCAATTCATGTTTAATTTATCAAGCAAATTTGCTTGATCTNCGCTTTGTAAATGATAATAATTATAGATTATAAAAAATAAACCGAAATACTCGAATTCAGTTATGAAACTGAAAACTTACGTTATGAACCTGATTTGCTTTAATTTTTTTTACAATTTTCATTAGAATTATTACACAACGGTTCTTTTGAAACTCATTTACCACATTACAGGCATTAGGTATGTTTGATTCCTTTTACACTACCATGAAAATATGGAAACATTTCTATACTAATTTTATGTAAGCAATTATAATTTGCCTTTAAAGGTTTTGAAAGATATTACAAGGCTAAGTTGTTAGCGTAATTTGAAAGGCCGAATTTGTTAGTTAGCATAATTTGAATCGATCAAAATATGAAGAGAAATTTAGTAAATTTTTTCCAGCAGTTTTTAGATTATTGCATATTATTTAAACATTTATTTAAAAATGCTTATTTAACTATAGTGGCATTGAAAAAGGAAAGCAGCTTTTCACATCCTACGCTCATCAGATAAATTTTGCATGGATAAAAAGCAGAGATGTCAACTTGCTCGGGACAGCGGATAAATATTTTCGAGTAGTGGTCTTTTAACACGTTGAATGCCAAGGGGATCACCGGTGACCGGCACTGAGTTTGTTCGTAGCGCCACGGTGTCACCGGTGACCGGCGAAGTCACGATTATTAGAAACACATAATTCGAGCAAATTTTTAACATTATTATCGTTACTAAAATGGTTTGAAGGAATAAATGCAATATAGAACACACAAAAATAGTTTTATTTCTATACACAGAGATGCCAACTTGCTCCGGACAGTGAATGAATATTTTCAAGTGGTAGTTTATTAATTGTGATTCTTGGTTTCAATTTAGTAGATTTTTATCCACCACTATTTCTAAACAATTCGAAACTTATATAATTCACCACTTTTAACAGATATATCATGCTAAACCTTTTAAAAAACTTGCAAAATCTGTCTAATATTTGCAAATTTAGTTTGTAGTTATTTATCATTTGGCCAGACGGGCAAGTCATGTAAAATTAGCGTAGCATTCAACGTGCTAATGTATGTTTTTAGTTTTAGTGAATTCGATTTATATGGTTTTTAAACTCATCTCTTTTTCTAATGATTCAAAGGCTTATGTCATATAACACTGTGTAACAATTAGGCCGTGTTGAGCCTCCACAGTGTTTTTTTATAGATAGTCCGTTTAGACCATTATGGAAATTAACCAGTGAACAAAAGAGCCATTTAAAAGAAAATCTAGGAAAATTAAGGAAGTGGTAGCAAATATATCTCCAAAAATTCTTTAATTTATGAGCACAATTGGTATGCCCTATTTACTCGACAACCACCACAAATTGAATTCTCAAATATATATGACAAATTTCTCCCTGTTACTTTTAAAAAAAGAATTTGGGTTCATGCGCAGAACTGGTTCACTTTTTAACACATTTACGGTGGGGTGATCTACCGGTGGGTCACGCTAGATTGTCTCATCTTGCATACCTGCCAACTCTTCCGGATTTTCCCGAAGATTTTATTTTCATATTTAAAGTGGTAGCAATACTCAGATTATTCCAATTAACTTCTTGAATTATAATGATAATTATAAATGAGTTTGACCATCACTACATATAAATAATTATAATAAATATAAGAAAGCATAATAATCCTTGCTCAAGCGAATTTCAACGGGATCGAAATATAAATATATTTTTGAGTCAGATTGTTTTTCGTTTATTGTTTACCACTCTGAAAATCTATTCTCGGAAAGAGTGAAAGTTGGCAGGTATGATCTTGACAGCGCAGCGGAGTAAATAAAAACTGGTAACAATAAATTTCATTTTTTAGTTTTTTTTCCGGGAATAATAAAAATCCAAAACTACCAATTGTTTTTAACGGATGCAATTTTTATATTGAATTGCTTCTTCGCCGTGATTAATTTCCTTACAGTGAATTGTTATTGTTGAGAATAGATTAACTCTTCCCGAATATAATCTAATATTGAAATAGTTCTTCTACCAGTATTTTCTCTTTTCCCGTACCAGTATTTTCCTTTTTCCCGGCGTGAACGTGTTAAATAGTCAATGCAGACTAATAAAAAACCGTGTGGAGGCTTTCTGATGTAGGAGGTGATGGTTGAGTCCTGTATAATGTTTGCAAAATTAACCTAAAATTTCGAAAATTTTTAGTTCGTAGTTCTCTACTGTCTTTTTTAAAATTATTTTGTTGAATCTGAAGTAGTTGGCATATCTAAAAAATACATCATTTCTAAAACCTTTAACACGTTCACGCCGGGGTGACCCATCGGTGGGTCACGCTGGATTGTCCATCGGGCGGCACATCGGTGTAAAAACTGGTAACAAATAAATTTCATATTTTAGTTTTTTTTCCGGGAATAATAAAAATCCATTATTAACCAATTGTTCTTAACGGATGCAATTTTTATATCGAATTGCTTCTTCGCCGTGATAAATTTCCTTACAGTGAATTGTTATTGTTGAGAATAGATTAATTCCTCCCGAATATTATCTAATATTGAAATAGTTCTTCTACCAGTATTTTCACTTTTCCCTGCGTGAACGTGTTAAGCAAACTGTTTAACAGTTTTGTCATGTAAAATTTTTCACAATATTTACTGTTAAAAGAAATATTGTTAACAAAGAGTTAGTGTAGAAATGTTTCCATGTCTATGTCCAAACCCTGTAATTTCAAGGTACAATTTTCAGGATGATGTTTCCTCTTTTAGTTGAGTTTTTAATATAAAATTGACTCATTCGCAGCTGATATGTTTGATGTTATAATTTAGTTTTATAACAATTGAAAGATTGATTTAGTTTTTAAACAGTTGATAAATATTTTCGTATCACACTCTTCTCTCCAAGTTGCAGTTTTTTTTATCATTAAAAACACAAAAACGTTTTAAAACTTTATACATAACAGGAGGCCACATAATTGTTGCAACAAATTTCTAGGAAAATTGCGCAGGAACTCAAGTCTGTAAATGTCGTCATACGCTTCTAGGGGCGCTTCCTCTTTTTACATGCAGCGTTTCAATAGCATTTCGTCAAAAAATGGACTTAAAATATCATTTAAAGAAACTGCAGCTTGGTGAGAGGAACCAAATGCAGATTTCAAACCAGCAGTACGAAAGTATATAATATCTTTTAAAAAATCTCATGTAACAGAAGAAAAAATGTCTTTCAGAGTTATTTTTGGAATAACTGAATAACAAAAGTAAAGAAGAACGATGCATGCATCTCCTTCTTTTAAGTGTTAATCACCTGGTGCTTTTAACCACAGATTCTTAGGATTTGTATAAATTCTTTTCAGTTGGTTCATTTCTTTTCTTCATGTAGTGGTTGGTTTCCTCTGATTCAGGTCTCTAAAAAGCATTTCGGAAATAAATTAACATAACCTTAAGAAAGTCGTGTAAATCTTCTAAATTTAAAGACTGGCGAATTGCTTATCAGTTTCCATGCGTCTGTTTAGTAAAATGTCGAGGTTCAGAGCCAAAACTTCCGCGGAAATGTCATTTATCAAGACCCAACTGTCCTTGCGAAAAAAAGAACTTTAAGATGGGGGAACTAGATATCGCGCTATGTTAAATTTGATTTTCATTCTTAGAAATTTATACGAGCAATACATCTCATTTAAGAAGGAAGACAAGTGTGATCTTTATGCTTAAAAATTTTTTTAAAAATATATTTACTGTTATTAAATGTCTGCATTTAACTTTTAGGGCCATTTAATACCGGGAATACTATATACTGCTTAGAAACATGTCTATTACATCTAAATCTATGTCTCTCAGCAAAGGTAAGCTTTTTTTTGTTAATAACTAATTTGATAATAATTATTTTGTTAATAATTAATTTTTTTAATAATTATTTTAATTAATTTTGTTAATAATTAATTTAATTAATTTTGTTAATAATTAATTTTTTGTTAATAATTAATTTTGTTAATTAATTTTTTGTCAATAATTAATTTTGCTAATAATTAATTTTTGTTAATAATTAGTTGAATTAAATTAATTTGATTCATAACTTTGTTTTTAAATTTTAATTAATTGGATATCGGGACTGTATCTGTGATGGACTGTATCTGTAGAGGCAAAAAAAATAGTTTTTATAAATATTAATAGTTAGTTAATAGTTTAGTAAGTTAATAGTTTATATAGACGATTGAATTAATAGTGTTTTAAATGTAATTCTAAAATAATAATGTTAATTGATGTTTATTTCAGGATAAAAATAATGAGCATAAAATATTAAAAATGATTAGTTTCTTTGTTTTAATAGAAAATCATAAATTCGCAATTTTGATAACAGTCAAGAAAATAAAAGATCACCTTCTTTGAAATGATTTTTTATTAATGGGAGATCAGAATACAAAGAATCTTAAAAATGTATTTTTATAATGTGTATTATTTTTATTATTTTCAAATAATGCATTTCAACATAAAAAAAAATATGTTTTCATCTCAATAAGAAGACGAGATAACCATTGACCCTTTGCACTTTGAGTACTTTAATATGCTGTTTTCACTAATATAAGCACTAAATCATTTAGAATACATAATGCAGGATTTTTATAAACTTTTTATAATTCTTAAAATAATATGGTTACTACTTATCAAGGTATAAAAGTGTTCAATCTTATAGTGATGGCTGTTGATATCGCCTTCCACGAGCCATCGGAGTGAAAAGGATTAAAAAAAAAATTTTAAATAACCTTTTTTTTTTAAATATTCGTAAATTTTTCAAAAAGTAATATTTTTAAATGGAAAATATAATTAAATGTAAAGAAAGATTAATTTCCGAAAAAAAAATACTGAAAAATATTCTGAAATATTTTGAAGAGGCTTATAAATTTCCAAATTATATGTACCACGCAAAAATGGCAATCAAGAATTCGCAATTTTAACTTTATTATTCAAATTGTTTTAAAACTAAAATAAAATTATGAAAAAAAATTGTATACCAGTAAATTATTTATTTTCTATTTAAAGGGATATTTTTTTTAAATTTGTGTCAAGTCTTCTATCATACTGTTTGCTGTGTCCGGAGCAGTTAGCATCTCTGAATATAGCTTTTTTCCATGAAACAAAAGCGCAATATGTCAAAATTGTCCTCTAAAACAGTGTTCCCTAACATTTTTACCACCGCGGACCTGCTAACGTTTGATAATTTTACCGCGGCCTGCTAGGGGGGGGGGGCGGNACTGGTGGGGGGCGTTGATTGTTTATATTTTAGATTATTTTGATTTATTAATTTTAATTGTATTTAAATTCAATGCCTTCAAAATAAAATACAGTTACACCAAAAAATAAATATAAAGTGATTTAACATTTTAATTTACTAGAACGTTAAATCAATGAGAACCATGAGCTTGCTTCTTTGCAATGAGACGGTTCCATCTGGAGGTAATCGGAGACAATGATACATTACAAGCATTAAAAAATTTATGTCACTACCTTCTGGGCCCCCTTTTTTTAACTAAATAAAATTTTAGCAGAACACAGATATTTTTAATTAGGGGTATAAACCTAGGAATTTAAATTCAGTTTCAATGAAATGGGCTGCCCGGGACCATTTAATCCACGAACCGGTACGGGCCTCGGACCGTGAGTTGGGGAACACTACTCTAAAAGAAAAGACAATGTTCTAAAATGTGTTTTTTTACATTAAAAAAAATTTTTTTTTGGCCGGTTTTTCCCAAAAAATCTGTGCGTTAAGGGGTTAATTTTTATAATGACAGCCAAATGTATACATGTTATGTCATATTGGGATTTATAAATTTATTCTAGGAAAATTTCAACCTCTGGTACAAACGAATAGGTAAAGCGCAGTGCAAAAATGAATGAGATCATAAAAACTTTTTACGCTTTTGAGCATTTTAATGTACGCTCTCTGTTTGTAAATTTGATTAAAAGTTATTTTTCACATCATTATATGTAACTGAGTCAAAAACACGTAAGAAACGTCATTTTGTTTCAGCTTTTTCGTGGTGAGGCTTTAAAAATGTTGAAAAAATTACCAACAATTCCGAACGCTTTAGTTTTTAATTGTCTAATAATATTTTAAATATTTTGCAAAAGGCGTATTAGTTGACTGGACAGTAAGTAAATAAAAAGCGGTTTATGTATTTGAATTATGTAGAAATAGTAGGACTTTTTCTGAAGCATTTCTCTTTTCAGAAGATAAAACAAATTGTTAAATATAAACTAAAAATTAACCCTTTCGCGCCGACTGTCTCAAATACGCGCCAGCAAAAAACGTATCAACCAGGGTAAAAAGATAAAACTGGTAATCAAAGTAATTCATTTATTTGTGGGTGGAGTTATAATTGTTTGATTTATTTAATTCACCATTACTTTGTTCAAAATAAAACTATTTAGTTACACTTTGAATTAACATTGATTATATATATGATTAAACTAACAATAATTCAAGTAAAAGCAAAGTAAGTCTGTCAAATTAGAAACGACTACATTTAAGTTACCGTTTTTTATTTAATTACGTCCTGATCCTGATTTTGTACGAATGCTTTTTCTGAATCACCCGTCTTCAAGGGGTTAATCCAAAGTTCTCAAATAAATGTTTTCTTTATTATAACACATATTTGGTCTCACAAACTTAGTTTCCTATTCTATTAAAATAAAATTTCGACACAAAAAGCTTTTTTGCTTACCTTCAAAAATCTTTACAATTTTATTTTTTTTCAAATGATTGTTTTATGATTATTATTATTTTAATTTCTAATTACCATAAAAACTTGTTAGATTGTTTTGCCAAAAATACTATTATTAATATACTATTACTTTACTATAAGTGCTAAAATTTAATTGTAAATTTCAATTAATTATTAAGTAACAGTGATGCGAACTTGCACCAAACAGCGTATAAATATTTTCGAGTGGTAGTCTTTTAATGCATGATTATTGTTTTAATAAATTCGATTTATAGGATCTTTACTCAACTCTACTTTAATATAATTCAAAGAGTTATGTGATACACCATGTTGTTACACTTAGGCCCATTGGAAGCAAGGGAGGGTACAGAGGTTAGCGCACTTAATTTGTAATTATTTGTATATATTGTAAGTAGTTTTTCTTTTCTTTTTTATACATATTTCAGATCTCTTATTGCTTATTTTCTCGTGCTATCATACTATATCCTAAATTTTGAAATTTACGAATTAAACTTTAATCTAACTTAGACCTCGCTATCTATCCTCCTCCCCTCATTATTTTATAAACTTAGATGAAGGAGTATAATAATTCTCTGGGTTAGGAGCTCCGTTCGCCCTGTACTAGTCAGTACATTTAGGCCGCGATACTGGGAATCGAGATGCTTGTTGATTTTCCTCACTTTTCGTTTATATTTATATATGTAAATATTGTATATAGTTATTCCCCTATTCCTGATTATTTACTCCGTATTCTACGTTTAAATCGGCAAACTTAGGCCGTGTAAAGCCTCCTAAAAATTGGCAAAACTAATGAAAAATCTGCAAATTTTAGTTTTTAGTTCTGTACCGTTTTTTAAATTATTTTGTCGTATCCGGTCGAATTTTGTCGAATCAGAATGAATTATTTTTTTAATTATTGTAAAAGTAAAATTAACTTATTAGTTGTTTAATAATTGTAAAACGATAATTAAAGATTTTGATCATAAAAATATGGTACAATCAATACTATTATGGTATTTCATCATAGAAATTAACAAAACCATTAATTTCAAGCCAGCAGTTCTGGAAAACAATATCAAAAATCTTTTAGAAAAATAATAATAGATGATACGTAGATATAACTACCAATGAAAAAGAGAATGAAAGAATAATTTACAGGGAAATATCGATACAATTTTAATTAATTTCACGAGGATGATGGAAAAAGATATCTGGATCTTTGTCCATTAATGATCATATCATGTAACTTTTTCTATCCAGTGAGAATGCGAGAGATGGTAAGATGACATTTATCTTTTAATGATATACTGGGAAATGCGCACTAAAAACTTGAAAATCAGTTTTAACTGTGTTAAACAGTTTGAAATGATTCTTAAAAATATTTCAAACTAGAAAAATAAGCCCGAGGTAGCCTGGTTGGCAGGGCATTGGGACCATGTCCAAGAAGTCATGAGTTCGATCCACCAGGCCTAAGACCCCCTTTTTTAGTTAATGATGACTGGTGCACGTAAAATCTATCGAGTTACAAAGTCCTCCAAATTCCCATAATAAATCAAAACCTCCTTGGCACTTAATTGGAGATTGATAATTCTCTAGTTTAGGATAAAATTACTATCTGTGGAAAATGAATGGGTCCGTCTTTTAAAACGGGCTGTGATGTGTGTGTGTGTGTGTGGCTAAAATCGTATTCATGGCCATAGGTGGCACCACTGAAGAACAGGAAACGCAAGCTCTGCCATAAATTACCTAGGTTTCACAAAGCAGCCTAAGAAACAACAACAAGAAAAAAATTTATATACACGTTTTATTCTTTCTTTTATTTGTTCTTAATAACCGATGTTGCGTTGAGTTCTTGACTGTTGTGATGTGATTGCTGCACCAAATGCAATAAGATAAAAAGTATGTGATAGCAACAATTTGGTTAAAATCTAGTGAACTTTTTATTCTGTTTACTTATAGAGTAGGTAGTCTCGAAACTAATAAGTTAAGTAACTGACTAATTATAGCTCGTTCACTAAGAGTTGGCACTTAGCTCCACCTCCTCGGACGCTGAGTTCATTTCAGAACTGGAGTAAGAGGAGAAACATCTCTGCTCTTGAAATTGAGACAACCCTCAATGCGTG